ATGTCTTTTTGGGTTTGGTGAGTATAGAGCTATTCTTTAGTCCTTTGCACTCCATCCGAAACCTCTGCTTCCCACACACAAGGGCAGCCGTCAGGGAAGGAAAGGACAGGATTAAGATGAAGATGCAGCTGCTCTGGGCTTTGGGGAGATGGAAAAGGAGGGCGTGCATTACCTATGAGTGCACCCACATTTCTGAGCCTCTGAGCTAAAACCAGCTGCTTCTGGAGTCTGACAGCTGTCGGGATGAGAAAAGAGAGTATGTCTGTTCAGTCAATTTCTCCAATGAACTTGCAACTTATGCTTGTAATGTGTTTGTTTTAATGTAGTATCTTAACTTGATGCCTGGGCTGAGAGCATTTGAAGGAAATGTGAATACTTCTATTAGGGACAGAAATAGGATTTTTGAAAGCACTACACAGTTGTGTAAGGATGTGCATGCCAGCAGTTGCTCAGGAAAGTGAACACAATTACTTTATTACTGTCACATCTTGTTGAGGAAGTGTTCCATAGCGGCTTCCTCTTCATGAAGATTTGGCTTTGAATCACATGGGCGCAAAAAGGGCAATGGTTGTTGAGAAACCTGTCTGCAGAAGAGGAAGATCAGAGACAATTTGGTAAAACTTTCACCTAGAAATGTAGCATACAGACTCCAAGGCGAAAGTGAGGACTTCCAGAGGTGTGGGAAACTGGCAACAATGATCTTGGAGGGTCATTCTCATGCTTTTCAGAAAACTTCAGAACCTCCCGAATCCTAATTTTCCCTTCTACATGATCAATCTTTTCCCTCCTGGAAGGTATGACTTGCCATTAAAAAAAGAATAGGCAAAACAGGGTTGCTGTGAGTTTTCTGGCCTGTATGGTCATGTTCCAGAAGCATTCTCCTCTGATGTTTCATCTACATCTATGGCAGGTATCCTCAGAGGTTGAGAGGTCTTTTGGAAACTAGGCAAGTGAGGTTTATATATGCCTAAGGTGGAAGAAAGAACTCTTGTCTACTCAAGGCAAGTGTGAATGTTGCAAATGGCCACCTTGATTAGCATTTAATGGCCTTGCAGCTTCAAAGTCTGGCTGGTTGCTGCCAGGGAGAATGCTTTGTTAGGAGGTGTTAACTGGCTGATTGATTCTTGTCTGGAATCCCCCTGCTTTTTGAGTGTTGCTTTTTATTTACTGTCCTGATTTTGGAGGGTTTTTTTAATACTGGTAGCAGGATTTTGTTCATTTTCAATGATTCCTCCTTTCTAGGCAAGACAGCTTGTATGGTCAGAAACTGGATTTTCTTCAGATATGTCAGGCTTGAGTACCCACTCCACCACATGTAGGGAACATGTAAGGGTGACTGGATTGATGGTGGGGATAGTGGGGGGATATTCTGAGATGCCTCAATCAGTGCCATAATCTGTTTAGTTAAATCAATATACAATTGGGATACAAACTCCTACACACATACACTGTACACTCTCCACTGCCTTAGTGGCTTATACAGGGTGTTTAAATAGATGGAACTGATTTGAATTCACTGTATCTCTATAACCACAAACAGCCTATGAATGAAACCCTTATGATTTGAAGGAGGGGGCACAGAGTTTTAAATAATTGCCACTAGATACTTCTCTCAGGGCACAACCCCTAGCCTTAGTCATCTGCAAGAGGGCAACCTCGCAACGTAAGGCCTAATGAGATATTCTTCATTTGCAGGGTTATTTTTAAAATTTGTTTGTGGCTCAGAATGTTTAGTAAACTTGATAAATCATTAAGCAATTTGTAACATTTTGTGTAACATGTTGCTATTGCAAAATATACTGCATTGAAACTGGGTCCATCATTTTGAAACACATTGTATTTAATGGCTTATATACCAGTTGTGTGTTTTCACAACACATAGTATACAGATTGAAAGTATACCCACAGCTATGAACTTCTTGCTAATATTCATAATGACCCTAAATTGGGCTGGTCAATTGAAGGAGGCGAGAAATCTATTTCTGGTTTAGAAAAGCTTTTTTTTTAAAAGATAAACAGGGACAAAGGAGTAGGTGGTTTTCAAAAAAGAGAAGCCAGCCACACATACAAAGGCATTTGGGAATGTCTAGAGTAGTTGACACAAAAGACACAAGTCTTGCACAGCTTTATGTGTCTCAATGCCTAAACGTTATCCACTTTTGCCCTAGAATAGTAAAGGTAAAGGTTTCCCCTTGACATAAAGTCTAGTCATGGGGATGGTGCTCACCTCAGTTTCTAAGCCAAAGAGCTGGTGTTGTCCGTAGACGTCCCAAGATCATGTGGCCAGCATGACTGCATGGAGCAGTTACCTTCCCGCCAAAGCAGTACCTATTGATCTACTCACATTTGCATATTTTTGAACTACTAGGTTGGCAGAAGCTGGGGTTAACAGCAGGAGCTCACCCCACTCCCCAGAGTCAAACCATCAACCTTTCCATCAGCAAGTTTAGAAGCTCAGCGGTTTAACCTGTTGCATCACCGGAGGCTCCCTTGCCCTAGAATACTTGGGTCTAAATCCATTTTGTAATCAAAGTTGGGGTATCTCTATCAAATCAGTGACAGTTATGTAAATTACTGACTTATGGTCTACCATGTGACTGAATGTGCCTTTTTTAGGTGTCACTAGCAACTGATTTAGCCCCTAGATATTTCAGGCATATCTAGAAGCAGATGCACCAGACTTCTGTTATTATTCATTAATTTACAGAGAAGAATTAATGAGTTCTATAAGCAATTGTTACAGGATTTGGTCTGCCAGGCATCTAATCCAATAAGTTGCTTTCCTTCACAGGTTCTGTTAAAATTTCTCAGGTGAAATCATTAAAAATGCTTTTTCATAAAATACCGCAATGCTATTAGACTTGAATGAAAAATGTCTTCTATGAAATATAAAGCTCCCAATGACTAAAACCACACTACAGCATGCCCCCAAAGTGTGGGAAACAGTGCATTTTATACGAGGTAAAGTTCCATTTCCATTATATTTGCATTGATGTTTGTAGCTTCTAGAAACTTAATAACCTAAGCTTTATTTTTCAAGACAAGGTATTAAATCAAATTCAAACATGCAGTGTTATTACATGGTCACCTGGACTGCAGTAGTAAACTGTTTCAAATACCACATTGGTGATTTTTTTGTGTTGTTTTAATAGTTATATATGTACAACGAATAAAGGGGGTAATGCTATGCACAGTGTTAAAACAAGAAAGTGTAATAATTTGCCATCATTTACAGGTTTACTGTGGTGGAAAACAACCTGCCAGACCCTGAAATTATTATGCTGACTCAAGGAGAAACACAAAAAATGTAAACAGTTTTATTTAAATTATATAGTTCTATTTACAAAGCCATGTTCAATAAATAAAAACACACTTAGCTTTGAAAGATTTCTCCAAATGGAGAAACAAAAATGTGGCTTTATATTTGCAAGGAGGAGAAAAAGAAAGAATCCACACAATCTTTAAAACAACCACTTTGGTTTCTTAAACATCAGAAAAACAAAAGGAGGGATTTATAAAAGTTTACACTTCTTAAAGGCAGCTATATGAAATTTAAAACAAGACGGCCCTCTTGCAATGTTACACCTTTCCAAAAAGGGCATATGCAGAATACAAGTCTTTCAATAAGTCTCAGGAAGTTTGCACATATAGAAAAGAATTTGGCTTTATCCACTGATGTTGAATACAACTGTATTCCCTGTTACTTTCCTATATAACATAAATTGGGAATGTATGGCTTCCAAATGTTTGATAGCAATTCAGATCACTCCCAGCTAACCTAAAGTAAGGGATGACTGGTGCCGACATCCAACATCTGAGGAACCAAGTGTTCCCTATCCCTTCAACAAAAATAACTTAAAATTTCATATAGCATGGGATACATTCACTGAACCGCATCTTCTGATGATCCAGAAATCAGATCCATCAGCACACTCCTTGGAATGGAACTCTTTCATTGATCAATGAATATATTTACTGTATATACTCATGTTTAAATCTAGAAATTGAGTCAAAACCTAGATTGACTTATCCATGAGTCATTGTAAATATTGTACCTTAAAGGTAAAAGTAAAGGTTTCCCCTGACATTAAATCTAGTCATGTCCGACTCTGGGGGTGGTGCTCATCTCCATTTCTAAGCTGAAGAGCCAGCATTGTCCAGACACCTCCAAGGTCATGTGGTCAGGATGACTGCATGGAGTGCCATTACCTTCCCGCCAGAGTGGTACCTATTGATCTACTCACACTTGCATGTTTTCAAATTGCTAGGTTGGCAGAAGCTGGGCTTATCAGCGGGAGCTCACTCACTTCTTGGATTTGAACCACCAACCTTTCAGTCAGCAAGTTCAGCAGCTCAGTGGTTTAACCTGCTGAGCCACCAGGGATACTTTATTCTTATAAAAAAAGGAATAATTCCCTTCTCCAAGTAGAGTGGGGAAAGGCAAGAGCTTAGTCCACTCTGAGAGAACCTTTAAAAAGCACTGACCCTTTCTATTGCCTCCACTTTTGTACTTTTAGCAAGAAAATGGCAGCGGTGGAGGCCAGGAGCAGTTGGCCCCAAGGTAGCATTGCCACTCTGTGGAATGACCCTCAACTTATCCATGGATCATATACAAATCCATAATTTGAGTCCCAAAACCACTTTTAATGTATATAAGAGGTCAACTTATATGAGTATATAACTTCAACCCTCCAGGTGTTTTGGACTTCAACTCCCACAATTCCTAATAGCCCACCGGCTGTTGAAGTCCAAAACACCTGGAGGGCTGAAGTTTGCCCATGCCTGATGTAACACTTCAAGAAAAAGAGCCAATGGGTATTGAGAGGCCCCAGTTTCAAAAAGCATTTCCCCTTCTGACTGAATTACTTGCTCAGATGGGGTTGGAGGAACATGGGGGTTTGCCAGATGGCCACTGTTGTTTTGTTGCATACGGCGGAAAGGGCATGGAGCGTAAAAGAATTACTTATCTGCTTTAAAATAAAACAAGCATTATACCTTCATAAAGGTGAAACACAGTTTATTGGTAAGGGAAAAAAGCACTGACAACGCGTACCTGGGACGCCGTAAGGAGAATGAGAAAAAAACCTCACAAAGTATCTGTAACAAATGAAGAGCATTTCATGAAACTGACCTGACTTTACAAAAAGTGAAGTAACTGCAAGTTGGGTGCTCAGAATAATAATAAAAAGACAGTTTTAAAATAACGTTTTTGTAATGAGTTCATTGGGAACAGTTTTGCTGTAGGAAAGTGGCAGAAGATCAGGCAACAGCTTTCCATGTAGGTTGCAGAGAACAGGTTTTATATGGAATGCTTTCAACATTTATGAAAACCGAACAGGCACAAGAATACAATTCCATAAATACTCTTGCAGAATCCGACACATGGGAATCACTGAAAGGCAGGATCACAGCGATGATACAAAAAGAGTTATTTATTTCATTTCATTGTTTTTCATTATTTATATCCCATTTTTCTTCCAAAGCAACTGCTGGAAACCAATTTTTAATTCAGAAAAATAATAATACATAAATAAGTATATCTACACTGTGCTATACAGTTACAGTAGTTCGATACCACTTTAACTATCATCACGGCCTCAGATACCATGTTGGAAGAAAGACAAAATGTCCACAAAATGAATAGTAAATAAAGAAATGGTGCATTCTATGGTAGCATAGGATTTGTATTTGACATTTTGGTGCTAGAGAACTCTAATGTTGTAAAAGTTCAGAATTTTCTAGTGGCAAATCTTAAGTATTTTACCAAACTATAAATCCCAGAATTCTGTCCAAAGGAACCGTGGCTGATTCTTTTTTATTCAACTGCTATAACTGCAGTGTAAATAAACTCATACTTTCAATAGAATGTAATTTGCAATGCTGGTAACCTATGGTGTGAAAAAGAACGGATCCTGTCATTATCTGCATGGTTCAGGTGAAAATAGGGGAAAAAAGTGATTTAATTAGTAGAACTATTGTGGTTGATTCTTAACATTATGATCTTTAAAAGACTACATTTGGCAGTATAGAAGTTGGGATTTGTGCCACTAAAGCTGAACATGGCCCTTGCTTTTAAATGAAAGAACAGGAAAAAAGGGAAAGTTACTTGAACTACAATACTGATCACCAAAGCACACTAAGAATTCCAGTATATACAGCAGAAATACTAACAGCAGGTGGGTGGATTGGACTTTTGTGATACGAAAAGAGTTGGAAACCAAGCTTTTCTTTAGAAAAAAGGCTAACTGCTATAGTTCTGTAAAAATGTTATACAAGGTACAGTATCTGTTCATCCTGTATCACATCCACTCATGTTCACACTATAGAGTTAAGAATAAAGGTTATGAAATAATACCCTTATTCCAATGCAGTTGTTGTCCATTTGTCATACAAAATGTCATAAAGTAGGTTGGATTTGGGTTGGTTTTTAGAGGAAAGTGAGTAAAATTCAGAAAGAAAATAGTATAATTTATCATGCAGTACAAAGATTTGCTTAAGTGGTCCCAAAGAAGTCTGATCTGTGGCCAAATATACCCAAGTTCTCACAGTGCAACACTTTCTTAGTGTAACACAGGACAGATTTTGGCTAATTTCCAGGCCACCTGAAAAAAGTAACTTCCACAATGTAACTGGAAGAGTTAATTAAAATTGCCTCTAGGGAAAGGAGAACATCCCTGCTTTCCATTTTCAGGACTGCAGCTTTATGACTTGTGTTTTGTGTTGGATTTTGAGGATGGCGACAGAACTCTTGATAAGAAGTTGCTGTCCAGTGACCCAAAGAAAGTAGCTAACGTGCCAATATTGTGATGGCGGAAATTAGTCCTTCATAGAGTTTGGTCTTTATGCAAAGCGGCAGTTCGACTGTTCTGAGAAGTGCAGCACAAAATAGACATATTACAGTGGGTAAAAAGAGTCTTTTGTAGTCTTGCCCTCAGCCACCCCCAAAGAAAAGAACCTCACGTGCATACACTCACTTCTCTCTCGAAAGTTACTACAGCTGCTGTGACTATAAAGTTACATCATGTCAGTAATTACAGCACTTTTCCACACATGCAAAAACAATTAATTTCCTGATTTTATTTTTTCTTTGAGTAGTGCATCATCAAGGCCACGGTGTATCAACAAAAGTCTCTCTCCACTTGTTCCCATGTCCATAGCAGATTCAGTTACTTCACAAGAGGGACTAGGAAATAAACACAAAATCATTATTCAAAAATCTGAGCCATTTGCTTTCCATTAAACTTAATCATTTTTTCCTCCCAAGAATTTACTTTTTGATCCCTCTGAAAGTGAAGGGGAAAAGTGACTTGGAACAGCAGCGACACAGCCAATTCGCCATAGCAACTGCTGTGCAAGACTAGCAAAATTATTTTTAGAACTATTTTCAGATCCCCAAACTTACTGATGAATGCGCAAATGCAATTCAGATGTCTACTAGACATGTTAACTAGTTCAAATGTAAACTTAATTGGAAAAGATATAGAGCCTCTCCAGACAAGAAAAAGTCGATGGAAGTCCCAGGTTTTGTTTCTATACAAACCAAATCTGGAGATCTACATGACACTTTTCCATTTTGAAATATTCCCAGGGAGCCCCTAGCATTACCAAGGACTTTTCACTCCCACTTCCAAATTTACTTTGAATTTACCAGGGTATTTCCCATAATGAAATGTATCTCTTCACGGCTGTGTCTAAGATGGCCAATGCCAAGACATAGTAATTGTTTTCAGGAATCCAGATTCAACAGAGTTCATGTGAGGGAAAGAAGAATGCAATAAAAGAAAATGATCTGAATGCATAACTAGAATCACACTAGAGCACTTTAACACCTTGACTGTAATTCATGAATAATAGTTGAGAATCAATTTCTGAAATGTTTCCTGAATCTAGATTATCAATGGGAGGGGTGGAGGAAGAACCTAAGGGAAGAGGGAGGGAAGGAAACACAAGTTATTTTTTTTAAAGTTTGGATACAAAACTATGAATATGCAGAAACAACAAAACAAAATGCACTATAAAGTTTCAATACTTCCAGAGTATTTTTTCTACCTTTCTGGTAAAGTCTCACATTTAACCCTTGGCATCTTCAAAAGTTATGATGAAAAACACTGGATACTTTTTGATTCCCCAGTCAGTGAAGAAGCAATGCCCTCTATCTTCTAAATATAGATCTCCTAGATTGTCATTCACATCACAGACATGTAAATATTCAGACATACAACATTCTTCAGCTGTAATACTTTTTTTATCATGCCAGAAGTGACTCGAGAAACTGCAAGTTGCTTCTGGTGAGAGAATTGGCTGTCCGCAGAGACATTGCCCAGGGGATGCACGGATGTGTTACCATCCTGTGGGAGGCTTTTCTAATGTCCCAGCATGGGAAGCTGGAGCTGACAGATGGGAGCTCACCCCATCTCATAGATTCAAACCACCGACCTTCAGGTCAGCCGTTCACCCGGCTCAAGGTTTTAGCCCATTGAGTCACCACGGCTCCTGACTGTAAACACAAGGGTACCTCTATCAACCCTATATAGCAACAGATACCACCAACAACAGAACACAAAAACAAGTCAATTTCAACATAAGGGTTTTTTCAACTAAATCAGTGGTTCCCACCTTTGGCCCTCCGGGTGTTTTAGACTTCAGCACCTACCATTCCTAACAGCTTGTAAGATGGCTGGAATTTCTGGGTATCGAAGTCCAAAACACCAAAGGTTAGGAACCACTGAACAAGATGCAAAACTAAGTACATCTGAGGCTGGGGAGGGAACAGCTTTTAATCAAATCCCAGTTACAACTGTTCAGTTGAACCTGTCTTCCACAATAACTGTGTGATAAATCACATGGGGTAACCTGAACCAGCTTGCAGGCTTGGACTGTCCGAAGTATACTTTTTATAAAATACATATATTCTAACATTGTGCTATTTTTAAAAACAACAACAACAATGAAACAGCTGATTGAAATTACGCTTATTATTATTACAACTGCTGGGAAAAAAAGAAAACAAAATACCAACAATTTTCTGCAATTTATGTTCACTGCAAAATTCACTTCCTTAGGAGGGTAGAATGGATTTTAACAACCAAGGGTAGTTTTCTGAAAATGTAAAAATCTAAAAAAATTTCACTAAGAAATTAAAATATAGGAATCTTTAGCTATAAGAATCCAGAAATAAATTCATCTGGGTTACTAGCATTTACATGTCAGATTTTCCCCAAAATGTCAAGATAGTGAGTGAACAACAACCTCCTCTCCATTTTTATTTTCATTACAACTTGGCCACGGTGGTTGATGCCTTAGTTGCATCCAGAATGGTCTACTGTAATGCACTCTAAGTGGGGCTGCATTTGAACATGGGTCGGAAACTGCAGTTAGTGCAAAGATCAGCTAACTGGGGCTAACTATAGGGAACATACCACACTCCTATTAAGGAAGCTCCACTGGCTTCCAAGTTTCTGGCCCCAATTCAATGTGAATGTTATCACCTACAAAGCCTTATACGCTTCAGGTCCAACCTAACTTCAAGACCGCATCTCCTTCTATCAGCCAATGCAGGCTCTGAGATCCACCGGGAAGGCCCTTCTCTTGGTCCCACCACCATCCCAAATACAGTTCATCGGGACAAAAGAGAGGGTCTTCTTGGTGGTGGCCCCCCAGCTCTGGAATGCCCTCCTTAGAGAGATGAAGTTAGCCCCTTCTCTCAAGTTTTCCAATCCAGTTTTAAAACATGGCTTTTTAAATAAGCCTTTGAACTTTAGTAGATTTTAAAGGTTAGTCTGAGGATTTAGTGTTGGCTTCACTTCGGCACTGGGTTTGTTAATAAAAAACAACCAGTTTTATTCCCAGCTATCACTGCGTTTTATGAATTTTATTTTTATTATGTGATTGTATATGTGTGGGTGATTGTGTGGGCGACTGTAATTTCATGTTTTTATCGTTTTTAGTTCTATCTCTTGTTTATTTTATGTGTGGCACTTTGGAGTGCTTGGTAAGCCAACATGAGTTCCTTCGGGAAGATGCTGGCAGGGTACAAATGAAAATTATTATTATTATTATTATTATTATTATTATTATTATTACTACTATTATTATCATTATTACAACTCTGTGAGGTGGGTTACACTGAAGATAACCATCATCCCAAACTTACACACGTAATCTTGACTGATTTTTTTTAAAAAATATTCTAATTGCAAGATAAAATGCATGTTTAGAGATTTTCAAGCTGGTTCATCTACTGAAAATCAAGTCTGGAAAGTCAAGATCAAAATTTGGATAGAATCTTGGTTAAAAAATATGACTGGCCCAGAATTATGTTCTTGTTTCAGACAATTCCAATTTTGACAATGGATTACCATCTAATCTAATTTATATGAGGATAAACCCAAGAATTAAATTTAAGGTTGTTTATGATGCTAGGCAAACAAGAAGAGTGGGTTTACTGGGGTTTGGTTAAAAGAATGAATGATGCTGAGAAACAAGATTAGATTTTAGGTTTGAGTAGCACAGATATTTATAGTACAATAAATTTAAGATTATATAGATTTCGATGTGCCTTATTAAGAATATGAAATAGATACAAACCCAGGTTATGTCCAAAAATGCCTTTTTGGCTCAAAAAACTCATTACAGAAAATTAAAATGGCAGATGTACCAAAACTCTTTGGAGAATGATCAAGGAGAATATAAAATTAAGTTGAATAAGCAGTTACTTGCAGAGAAATATAGTTTCAATGACTTTTATATTTACAGTTATGTGAAGGATTTAAATTGGATAAAGAGCCATAATTTGGAACAGAATAAATATGAACTGGAATTGCAATTAGGTATGGAGAATGAATGTGTGTGGTAAAACAGATAAACTCATGTTATGATCTGAAATGGACGAACAAGTAAAAGTTTGTATGGGTTAGGAACTTTTGCCTATAACAAATGGAGTAATTGGCATGGATGTGGTTAATGGAGCTGAAATGTATATTATGCTATAATCTTAAAAATAACTTTTATAAAATGATATACAATTAGTATATGACACCAAAAACATTGTCTAGAATGCTTAAAGGAGCTTCAAATGTCTTCTGGAAATGTGAACAACAAGGGATATTTAGTATATGTGGAGGATATATCTATCTTGCTCCCCAATACCACGAAATGTCCTCTAGGGAACATATGGGGCATATTCCCCACATTATTCCCACCTGGCCATTTTAGCTCCATATGATTTAATATGCTTTTAGTATTTTGAAATTATTATTTTAATTTGTTCAAATTTGTTTTAATGATATACTGTTTCAAGACCTTAGACTATTGGTCAAGATATAAATATTTGACCGAATGAATGAAAATACTTCGTCAGTCAAGGATTCATCCTGGGAAATACAAGGTAATGGAGTAACTGTGTTATCCTGTCTCATCAGAGAGGCAATAAACCTGGAAAGATTTTAGTGTTTTTCACAAGGTACCTAAAGTTCAATGAGAAGGGAATAAAAAAACAATGTGTGGAGTCGCTGATAAACTGCCTCCATTCAGGACATGAGATCTATTTGCACATCTCTGAACGTGTCGCAACATGACCAATGTAACCATTGAGGAATGGGTGTTTGAGTTAAAACCAAAGTGTCAGTACTACATGCCATGTACTTAAAATGGAATTAAACTGTTGAGATGCTGAGATGCTAAGACATCATATTCTCTGGAAGGAGATGTTTACCTAGTCAGGAAGTGTAGGCACACCAGAGGAACCCCTGCTTAAAATGTGGCAACAACATTCACAAAACCATATTTCCCCACTGAATTTAGCAAGATTGAAGATTTTTTCCCACTGGTTTAAAACTGACAGGTTTGCTAACCAAAGACCTAATATACATTGGCACCAGTTGATAGAATATGGCATGAACATATTGAAAAGGCTGTTACTTTTGAGTAGAAAGCAGATAAGAAAACCAAAGGTCAGTACACATGTGGAACATCTGCTTCCTTAGATCCATAAACCTACCTAGCTTTACATTTCTTCCAGGAAAGGCTTTCTCTTTATTCCACCTCACAGGCCTGTTTGGTGAGGAAGAAAGAGACAGCCTTCTCTGTAGCTATTACCAATTGGTGGCATTCCCTTCCAAAGGAGGCTCAGTTGGGTGTCGTGTGTGCTCTCTTTCTCTCAGTAGGCAAAATTGTTGTTACTAA